TTTTATCGCCCAAGATAAAATATATAATAAATAAAAATTTCAAGTATTTTGTCTATTTTATTACTTACAGTGAAATGGACTTCAAAGTGACTAACAATAAGAATTTAATGGCTTCAAAAAATAAATTCAATACAAACGACTTATCGCATCATCGATAATTATCCATGAAAGAAAGAGTAATAAAATCAACCATTTTCTTTTTAATTTCTTATATATTACATTACAAGAAAATACACACATTAATACTCGAGTTTTCAAATGAAGGATAACAATTAAGTTTTCTTTATTCAACAATATATGTATTTGTATGCGAGTTAAATATATTGAAATTTTTATCATTTATATAGATATTGAAAATATAATAAAAAAGAGAGTGAGTCTACATAAAAAAATAAATCGAAAATGAAAAATAAATTTCTTTTTTAAGGATTATTTCAGAATTATTAAGTCCTTTTGACTCAATCAATTTTGAGAAAATCAAATTTGAAAATTTAGTATACTTGAATTTGATTACTTTTGAATTGGAGTAACTGGAGTAATTGGATAGGAGGTTATTTTGGATAGGAGTAGTTAATTAGACAGTTAATTAATAGCTAATTGGATTATTCTACCTGTAAAAGTAAATGAAAAATATAAAAGATATATGAACAAAATTTTTCAATTTAAGGCATCACTTTCAAGAAACTAGGATTCTGAATATGTTCAGTTAAGAATTGGATTAATAAATATATAAATGCTTGGTCAATTTTCAATTTTCAATTCAATTTAGTTTTTTCGAATGAAGCTTTAATTGAAAAAAGTTTTATTCTTTCTTTCTAATTTATTTTTTCATGCAGAATCACTTTCTTCTTCATTGTATCTTGAATGCTGGAAAATCCTATATAGCTACACGTTAAATAATTGTTTATACTTTATATTTTTAAAGGACAACCTACTTGTATATACAAAATGTTTAGAAATTATTTGCAAATCAATCAGTCAAATTCAAACGAATAAACGTGTCTTGTATCTGATATAAAAAAATAAAAAAAAAACAAAAAAAAATAAAATAAAAAACAAAAAAAAAATAAAAAATAAAAAATATTTTAATTTTTAATACACTAAATTTTGTTATGTTAAAATTAAAATATCTTTTGAGCTAATTACTTTTATACACAAATAACTTAAAAAAATATATAGTAATATTTAAAGAAATAATGGTTTTCAAATTTTTAAAATACCTCTATATTCAAAATAGTCATTCGTATCATGAAATCATATCATTTGCCTTAATAAAATTTTTGTTTACTTTCTATTATTTTAAAGTTTTGGCTTGTCCCAGTTACGTAGGACATCTTATAAAGTATAAAATGAAACAAAGTGAAAGAGGATTTCTACGCTTCAGGGCTTAAGTTAGAATACGACTACATTTCTCATTTCCATGAAATTTTAATAATGTTTACAGTAAGAAAATTGTTTATCATTCGATATTAAAATTATTAAATTATATCACTTAAATTACATCAAATCAAACATAAGATTTTACGCAGAGAAGTTTATTTTACATAGTATTTAAATATTATTTATGGATAAAATAAAATTAAGAGTTATCATAAACAAACACTGACAAAAAGCTCACACGTGTGAAAAACATTTGGATCGGAGATAAATATATGAAAAAGAAGCAAGAACTCGTTCCTAATTTTCAATCACAAATGTGAAAAAATAATACCTGAAATTATGATTATAAACGAAAAATGTATGACTGAGATTTTAAATGAACGTAGTTAAATGTATATTTGGAAATAGTTCTATTAATTGAAGAAAATAAAAAGATTAAGAATAAACATGTATAAAAATAAATGATTGAGAAAAATTAATTAAATTAATTCGCAGTTAGAAGAATTGAGGAGAAGGTAGGAAAAGAATATTTTTTTGAACAAATTAAGTTTAAAGATTTTGCGGAAGAGTTTAGAATAGAATATTTCATTGAATAAAATAAAATTTATAAGATTATTAATATATATTAGTAACATTACTTTAGAAAAATATTCACTATTGTTGTATTTAAGACATAACGATGTCCAAATAACATACGTGAAATTACACACACAAAAATATAATAACAGATACAAGAAATATTGTAAGATATGCAATAAGTCTATTGAAATATGTAACAACAATAATAATTTCATTAATTAATAATTCACAATAATTAATATCATTGGTTAATTCAAATTACAATAAATTAGAAGCATTTTTTCTAAACTACCGGAAGACAGATGATAACGTTTATCATTTAAAATTAACTTATAGGCAAATAATGATCGCATAAAATGGCATCATACGATATAATTGGAGCAATATTTAAATTTGCTTCAATAGCGATCTTCAATCTCTATTATCATGCAGTAAGTGGAAAAGTAAAGATACTTTCGTTATCTAAAAATTTAAACGCCTCCAAATTTTTTCCTGAAAAATTTTTTTAATCATTAGATTTATAATAATTTTGAAGATTGATTCCCTTTACATCAATCCCTTGAAACTTGCTATACATTTTTCTTTCGATTTATTTTATTGAATCATGAATATCAATGTTAAACAATAAAAATTCAAGAAATCCTTTGTTTGAACGTTTTGTCATTTAACTCTAATGTTTGGAATTTAATAAAATGGCGGGAGGAAAAACGTACAAGCTTTAGAAATTTTTGAAAAAAGAAAACTTTAAGATGGTAGATTTAGTTATGAAAAAAAAAATTTATTAAAAAGCATTTGAATTTTCGAGAACAAAAGTATCCTTACTTTCTCTTTTGCTACATGATTGAAAAATATGTTTGAAAAAAAAATAATAGAATAGAGACTTCACACTTTAAAATAATGCCAACTGAATTTTTATACGACTGTTCAATATGAAGTTATTTAATAGTTATTGTAGACAATTTCTCATCGAGTATACGAATACTTTTGTCTACTGTATAGCATAAAGTAATGAAATGAGCTTCAAGTCCCCCATCCCTTTAATTTTTAACAACATTATTTTTAATATTGTGCATTATTCTAATTTATAGAAATCATCGAGATCAAAGTTCTTACGAAGTGTTGATTCATCATGTATATTTTGATTTATATATTTCATTAAAAAACTACGCTACGTTCTATTGTCAAGACTTCGTCAACTCATATTTACTGCGATCATTGTTTTGCATGTCAATATAAAATTCATTCTTTTCCGTTTTTTTCTGCTACTTAAAGTTTTTTTTCAGTTTTGTTTCTGTAACTGAAAGTATTTAAATAGTGTATTAATTGCAATTTTCTGCTACAAAGTATTCCATCAGTCCAATATTAAAATAATGTACACTGATTTTCTTCTTACTTTGGATATTTCACTAATTTGAAACATTCCTTAATTACTGTACATTATATTGCTGTTATAAATTCGCTATTTCAATTTGTACTGATCTATTGTATATGATACAAGTTTCTGCAATGACTTACAATTATACTACGAATTTTTATATACATCATACAGGATGTTTCACGAAAACCAGGCCACCTGAATATCTTCTTTATTAATGATAGTACAAAAATCGTAACTGATTGAAGAGATGAATCAAATGGAAGAACTTTTATTTTTTTTTTTTTAATATTCCATCATATGAAAAAATACGTTTATAGATCAGATACATTTATAATATGATCTTTAAATAATTTTGAGTTTAAAAATTTTTAAATTAATGTGAAAGTATTAACTAACTTAATTCTGGATTAGAACAATAACAGAAATAATTTTGAAAGTGTACAAACAAATGCAATAGTGTTTATTATTGCTGCATAAAATTCGTTTACTGCTGTATGAAATTAATTCTCTCAAGGATTTGTTCACTGTTAGTTTTTTTGGTGTATCGATGACAACAAATGAGTTATTCAAAGCAAAAAAAGATTGAGATGATTTTTATTTATAGCTAAGCCTGCTAATGTCTAAGAGAAGCGATTCGAATTTATCAAAAAAGATTTTCAAA